TCAACGTTTAATTGATCCAGTTTTATAAGTCATCCAAAGTACACTTATTCATAGGTTATTGTTTTGGAGTAATTGCAAAACTAACGTAACGAACACCTGCTCGTTTGCAAACAATTACAACTCTAAACCTAAACTATCGACGTTGTCAGGTTTACACAATGCATTAACCTTATTTACGGAACAAGTTTCTACGCTGTTTTTAAGTCTAATCTGGCACTTTGACGGCTTCCTGGAGTTATTCGAATTATTGCAGGTCTCACAAATGACAAAAGGCCGAGTTCCTTTCATTTTTTTGCTTATTAGTAATTGATATTGCAAAATTGGTACAAACAAAACAAGCAGATATAGGTATACAGTGTGTCCCAAATCGAGTTGGATTACATGGCGGGTAACTTTCTTATTATTAAAGATAGCGAATTGATTAAATAGACAATGTTTTGCAGTTTTAGATGCTTATTTTTCAGTTCAGAATGTCGAATATAGGTTGGACGTAAATTCAAAAAAACTAAAATTGGTCATTTCCGTGAATGTCTTATATGTATCATCGAAAGTATAAAAGGTATAAAAAAAAGGGATGTATCTCGGAATTGTTTATTCTAAAAAAAAGTCAGTCTTTTGGTTAGGTGTTACCTTTTTCCTACAACTGATAACTCCCTTGCCCTTTGATACATACATCAAAATAAGAAAATGACGCATTTAATCAAGTCGAAAGCAAAACGCACACGTAGTTTTTGCTTTCTATTATTAAGGTATCGTTAGAAAATAAAATGCACTAGTGTGCCGGAATTTGAAATAGTATAGGTACCTATAACCTATATTGTTACATGTTATGTGAAGTAGTATATAATTTTCACGCCTGAACCTGCGGTTCTGCCCAAACACGAAAAATGTGTGCTAGTTTTTCACGTAACAACATAAGTTGTTATAATTAGGGTATTAGCCAGGTTGCGGACAGCATTTTCCGTTATGTTAGACGGCCATTTTTCCTTATAATATAAGTTTATAAGTATAAAACATTTTTATAGCAAAGTTAAGTTGCGGTGTGGGCTGGGCGTGTTCAATTTTGCTTATAAGTTTGAAGGAGTCTTAACCTCACTTTTATTTTACATTGTGTTAAACTGTCCAAAGTTCACTACTATGCTCTTAGACAAAAAGAAAAGAACTACCGCCAACATAAACACTGCACAATTGTAGGTTAGCAGGAAAATGTTATTTATGAGTGATTATGTACTGCGCAGTGACACATTATAAGAACTTCATTTTCATTGGTTCCGCTATTTATAAATATATCGTACAAAAAGCCCTCATACCGTAAATTATTTCTACAAAAATTTATATTTCTTATGTTATAAGAAAAAATGGCCGTCTAACATAACGGAAAATGCTTTCCGCAACCTGGCTATTATGGTGTGCAGCTCGATTTGCTGTAAATGATGAGGTTGAAGGATTTAACGACAATAGGTACACCACGTGGGATATAAGTTATAACCCAGGCAAAGCATTTACGAACAACTACCATGAGGTTTTGAAGCTGCCAACTGGTTTCGCAAATGACCTCATTCAAAATGGTATTGCTCGTGTTGAAGAAATTATGATTTAATTAAAAAAAACCTACGAACGAGATTTTCATTAATCGCGATTAGCGAACAAAATAATGCAAATGCAAAACATCGTTTGATAGAGGTGGCGGGGTGATGGGTGCCGGTGAGTGAGTTATTCTCGCATAATCTCCTCCCTTCCCTTTCGCCGCGTGACAGTCATTCAAAGTGCTTAAAATGACGAGTTTGCAAGTATAATTTTGCAAACAATTCCCCCTCTCCCGATGGTATTACATACCCCCCGCCAATCATTGGTCAAAAAGGCCCCGCAAAAATGTTTTCGCTCCAGGCCGCGCATTTGCTAAGGACGGCTCTGTAATGCGAGTGATCCCCACGTGTAGGTGGCAAATGAATTGTGGCAAAGCCAGTGTCGTCTAAATCGAGATGCAAGTGTATTCAAAGAAGTGAAGTTACGAAGTATCATCGTTTTGTGTCTGTGTTTATAGACCAGTTATAGAAATAAGTGCAATTGATCCGATATTTTGGTTATTAGCACGTTAAGGTAATGAAGATTTCGATCCCTTGTGGTGTGATATGTATATTCTGGCCCTGAGTGACTATTTTTATTTCAACCTTATTTGATTGATTCTGTTTGTATCATGTGTAAATGTTCTACAGTGATATTCATGTAGAAGTAGACATAGGGATTTCTTATGTCTACTTTTACTTGATAAAGTCTCCTGAAAGACGCCTAATTTTATGCAACCAATGTTTTTCTTTATCATAGTCCATGGCTACATAGACTAAAAACTCGTGAAAACAGAATCTTCATAATAAATTTTTTCGCGTACAAGAAGAGGTAGAATAATCGTTTCACATGATTTAGATGCAGAATTTATATCTCTATAACTTTTATTTGAAGTATTTTTGCGTAAAATAAATAGGAAACGTTTGCGCAAGAAAAAGTAATTTCCCATGTTAAACGCCTATGTTCCACTTTTCTATTTACACCCTGTACATACATTTAAATTAACACTTTCTAACTTTTAGGCTTGTGTTTCCATTTTCTGCGCATATAAAGGTTTTATTTATTTGACTGACGACTATACAAACTTTTTTTGTTTTAATATGTTGGTTTTTGTTCCAGAAAAACAAGCTTTTGTTAAATTTCATAACGTTTTATTCTGTCTGTTTTTTTAGGACATTAAAAAAATTTAAATATAATAGCAATAAAAAAACAATTTTTTTGTCAAAATTATGACAATTACAAACTAACAAATTTTTGAATGTGGTATTAATCCGGTCACAATTTTGGTTCACGGAGGGATGGTGTCCGGGAATTCAACACGGTCGATGTGGCAACCCTATCCACATCCAGATCCATAATCGGGCAATCTCGATTCAACCAGAAAAATTAGCGCCATAAAAATGTTAATCTTGTGTTATATTTGCTTGCCTAGTCAGTTTTAACTGTACATAATATGGTTAATTGCAGAAGAGAATTTGATGAAACATCGCCCACTTAAAAATAAACAGACTAAAAAACAAACTAATGCTCGGTTTCACAAACGATGATCAAGGTTAACCAGTGATTAAAAATATTAGAATGGGAAACAAATGAACGTACCTATAATCAAAGGTGGCTAACATTCTAATATTTTGAATCACTGATTAACCTTAATCATCGTTTTGGAAACCGGGCATAACATTCATAAACTTAACCACCTCAATATTTAAATGAGTTATATGTTCTTTATTGAAAAAATAGATTTTACAAAGGGATTTAAACTAATCCTACACAAAAACAAACTAAACTTCAATATACTGATACATAAATAATATAATGGAATTACAGATTAAGAACGTTTTTTTGTTGTGGCAGTGCGTTTCGGGTTATCTTTAGGGGAATTATCACTGTAATTAATTTCTTTACGAACTCTCAAAGGCCTAGGTTCTGCAACACTAACAGGTTTTACTGCCTTTTTCTTTTTTTCGTCTAATTTTTTCTTAATATTCTTCATCTCGTCTGTATATCCAACCATATTATCTTCTGCTTCCTGACCATTCTCAACGTTTACTTCATTATCTTCCTCTACATCCTTTTCTCTATTCTCCGCAACAGGTTTAGCAGTTTTTGTAGCTTTTGTCTTCTTAGCCACAACTTTAGTCTTCTTTTTAGGTGTCGGACTCTTGGCAGCGATTTTTCGTTTTGCAGGTGAACTTTTCGATGTCTTAAAACCGAACGGAGCCTTCATAGAACCTCCTGCCGCTTCAACTCCCTTCACAAGAATTTTACGTAACTTTCCATAATCAGGGTCAATCCCAAACTTTAGGGTAGAAACATATTTCATGTACTCAGATATAGCGCCTACAAATTAATAATAATTATTCGGCATGTTATCATTGATAATTACCGGGAGGCTTTCCATCTGAAAAACATTTCTTGAAGAAGGTCGTAAGATTTTTCATGTTATCTATTTTGCTCTGTTGTACAATCTTGGGATCAGATAAATCAACTTCCCACGGAAGGGCGCAGCCCAACCATTGAACTAAGTTGTATCCCAAACATTCCAAATCTCCTCTTCTTGATTCAACTTAAAAGGTTAAACCTCACAATGTTAGTCTAAGTCATATTAGTGCAAACAAAAATGGTGCGTTGATTAAGATCGAAGAGTATAATTATTTCTGTTCAAAGTAATGGTAGTGGAGAAAAAACCTACTAATAATGTAGCAAGTTTAATTGAAACGTTGCGAGAAGTAGAAGGAAGCATAGGGACTTTTCACATTTGGTAGTTTATACAGTCCGTTTCAAATTAAGTTGGTACTATAGCTATACTATTGACAACTTACTTAGTTGTTAGAAAGACGGTTAAATGATCAAAGTTGTGTGTATTTTGCTACTGAATCCACATCTCATTTTTCAGATAACAAAAATGTGACTTTTTTATATGGACCATATTTATATGGTTCGAATAAAAAGCATTAAAAATTTTTTTAGTAATTTAAATATATGTTTTTAGAAGTAAAATAAATATTAAGCATTAAAATCGTCCAATATTTTAAAAAAATCGCCAAAGCAAACAATTGGTATATCTTATCTATTTTGGCCAATGTCTTGAGTTCTAAAAAAGTTACAGATCTGGGATTTCTATTTTATTGTGTAAAAAAATAATGTCATCTCATTTGATTTTTTCAAGAAAAATTATAGCATATATTTAGTTAAATTTCAGACCGCCTTCTAGTGACTACCGTAAAATTACCAGGTATAAAAGCCAATAGCTGTTGGTAGGCCAAATAAATGTCTCTTCGAGGGTCTCTTAAACAAGGACCAGTTTGCTAAAATCGGTTACTTCACCCAAACTTCAGAAATCAATATTTATTTAAAAAACATTTGATTTCCTCCCACCACATTATTTCATAAAATGGCCAAAAAACGAAAACAAAAATAAAGAGTATTATAATCAAAATTAAAACTTTGCTATTTTGATACCACTTTATTAGATAAAATCTGGAGAAAATTAAAATTTTATATTTGATCATGACTGTTGCGCCCTCTAGTGGCCATTTTACACACTCGAAAATAATTTCCAGCAAATTTATCTTGGCCATTTTTCTTTCATAATTTGTTACCCAAAAGCTCTATGTCTACTTGCTTCTGAGGCCATTCTTATTTGTCCACCTGGTACAGTACAATATACATTGTAGTGGACCAAACTACCCACAAAAAAGTCCCTGAGAGTATATGTCTACCTTCAACTGTTTAACGGATTAAAACATGCATGTGTGAAAAGTCTTCTACAATTTGGATTCACTTGTCTTATACTAAACATAGGAAGTTGTGTTATCCCTGCAAATTCTTAAATGTCAGGGTCAGTTGCAGATATTTCATTCTGGTTTAATCCGGATCCCGGTGTTAAGAAATGTGATTGGTTAAATCTTAAGTCTGAAGTTAAATCTAAGTCTAAACACCCACTATGCTCTCATAGGTACTCGGATAAAAAATAATCCCGGGTTAACAGCTAATTATTTGGCATATGACAAATAAATTTTTCTTAAATCCTGCAAGATGGCGCACCCCTAAATGGGGGCAAAAAAAACCTGATCTTAACGAAATTTGTTGGGGATTTTTGAACATGCACTTTCCATTGTGTTTATAACCTGCGAATGTTTTCTTATTGTAGTACTACTTACTTCCTAAATGACCATCCCGACTGACATATTCTATGGTTCCATTGTGTGCTTTCTTAGGATCTGGTTTCTCGCTTGCACTATAATGGGAACATAAACCAAAGTCGACTAAATAAACTTGTGAATCCGATTCGGCATCAGGTCCTAATAAAATGTTTGGCCCCTTAATGTCTGCATGAATATAACCTTGACTGTGAATGTATTCAAGAACATCAAGCTGTAAGTAAATGTATAGCTAAAAAGATTTCGGAATTGCCTTACAATCTGAACACCAAGTTTGAAAACAATATCGGGCGAAAAGCGTCGATCATTTTCTAAGAATATCTTCCAAATATCGGATCCAAACTTCTCCATAACAACGAACCTGTATTTTTCACCATTGTGCTCGTGGCTACCTGACGCAATGTATTTGGGCATTCCTAAGGAGGCTAATTTTTTCTTTACTTTAAATTCTTGAACTACAATGGGAGTTGATTCATGAAAAAGTAACAGTGTTATAAAAAATACTTACTTTGATCTTCTTTTCCGTTTCTCATATAAAAATGCATTTCAACGAATAATGGTCCATTTTTATGTGGTTCCTACAGATATCAGTATTACGATTAAATAAGCGGTTAGCATACACACATAGAACTTACGATCTTAACAACGTATGGAAAGCTGCTACCAGATGACGATGCATCCTTTGCCGAATAGATTTCCCCAAATCCGCCTTTTCCAATGGAAGGGCCCAACTTCCATTTATTCCTGTTTACATCTTCTACTACTAAGTTCAATGGTAAAGGGGCTGGGAGTTTATAACCGTTTTTAGCTTTAGGAGGCATTATTTTAGCCTTAGAGAACAGTCTTATAATCAATACTTTTCGAATTGGAATTAAACTAATTAAACAAACAATTCAGAAGAAGTTGAAGCACACATGCCACACATCAAACCACACTTCTGCAACGATTTTTTAACGCGGGAATCGGAACTTTTGATTAAAAAAAAGGCACACAACTGTAAAACAATAAAAGTCCTAGATAAATAATATCCCTAGATTTTCCATGGTTAAGGTGTGTCTAAAGGTGCGTACAGACCGGTCTAACGAAATCGGTAGTTCCTAGCGAATGTTTGATTGGCGTCGAAGAAAAATTCAATGAAGAAACGTACATCATTCGCTGTCTTGAGCAAACGTTAGATGGACGTGAATCCGTATTTTTCATCACACCTTCAATTCAACGTTCCAATTTCAAACGGCGACGCAGTGTGCGAATGGATGACTATCATTATCGTGGGTGCTGCATTTATAGTTTTCAATGAAGTTGAAGAAGAAATAAGAAAGATACGAACAGAAGATATGAAAAATTATAAACACACATGTAGTGCGACGGTCGCCAAAAACACATTAGCATACGTTGTTCCATGGACCGTACTACCGTACATTAGTTTCAGAGAAGTATTTTATCTGTAATTTAGTGAACACTGCTTACTACGACTGCGCTGCTTAGTCGCCTTGCTGTTCGCAGTGAGCATTGGTTTATATGGAAGCCTTCATACTGAGCGACCGCGCCAGCGGCGACCGATACGATAGCAGCGTCGAAACCTTTCACACTAGGCGGTTAAGTAGCGCTGTATGGAGGCACGTCACGACTACTGCAATGTCCACTAAACATTGAAACTAACGCAATGTTGAAAAAAAGGTTTTATTTGTCACAGAAAAAAGAAGAGTAAAAAGCAGGAGGTCTTCGTCGAAATCCATCTGGTACCGATGTGACTGGTCACAGTGCTTGCTCCAACCGTGAGACAAGACCACTGAACATGCCGATTAAAGCGCCGATTCCGTCGCGTTGCTGCTTATTACTGCCCCTCCCCCCCCCCCCCAAACCTCAAAGCAGCGCTGCTAAGTCACCTAGTGTGAAGGGGCACAGCACAAAGAAAGGCAAAAACAAAAGCGTACGTTTTCATAAATATCTAGTGAGAAATGTGAGAGACTGTGAATTTAACTCGTAGCGTTCACCAGCAAGAAGCGTTTCATGAGCGGTATCTAAAGGCGGGGATACTCTAGCAAGGTTATTCGTCGATGACAATCGGGCTCAGCGAGGTATAGTAAAATACGTTTTAACATGTTTATTTTAATAACCTCTTATACGCACCCCTTAAAGTGATCGTGGGGAGTTTGTGAAAAGAAGAGCGTAGATGTTAGTGTTTTTTTTTTTAGGTACATACCATATATATATAAGAGAAGTATATATGGTACATACCACCGTGAGCCGGACGTATATACGTTGGTATTTACACTCGATAGTGATATCAGACAGCAACTCGCGCGAAAAATCTTGCTAGAGTATTCCCGCCTTTAGGAAACGCTTCGTCTGGTGAACGCGCCCAATTGTCACCATTCTAAACACAACCTCAAACTGTTAATAATTACGATTCCAAGGCCTTCTAGACTTCTTTTTTTCGACTACTTATACAGGGTGTTTGGTAAACATGCGGCAAAAATGAAAGAGGTTATTCCTTGGACTATTCTAATGATATTTTATCCTTTGATGATTTTTGAAAAAACTCATTCGAATAATGAGCCATGATAGAGGATTTCACAAACAACCGTTTAAGTAATAAGGGCAGAAATTACACATGTATCTTCGCAACGAAGCGTTTTTTCAAAAATCATCAAAGGATAAAATAACATTAGAATAGTCCAAGGAATAACCTCTTTCATTTTTGCCGCATGTTTACCAAACACCCTGTATATGTTATAAGATACAAAATATAGGTGCCATACATATCTGTATCTAAATACAATTATTCTAATGTATCTGTATCTTTCTAGATACTCAAATAACAGTATCTGTAACAACATATGGTGACAACCGGGTGTCTCGATTTGATTGGTGGTTGGTTCCGATCGCCATATTGGAGCTAAATTGGTATTGGAGCACGTTTGTTGGTGTTTTTACGAAAGTAAGAAGAATAAATAGGTGCGGTTTAACGTGAAATCTATTGTGGACATTCGGTTATTAGGTTGAAAGTGAATAAAAATGTAGGTATTTTCTTTAATTACGAAAGGTTACTGTTTACCAAATTGACATGTGTATTGTTTTTAGATATTATGGGGGGGTGTTCCGCTGTAGGATGTAGCAATTCTGCAAAGAAAGGATTTTTAATGAAACGGCTACCAAAGAACCCCATAAGAAGACAGCAATGGATCCTCAAAATCAAAAGAGACAAAAACTGGCAACCAAATGATGACACACGCTTGTGCGAGGCAAGTTTATTTTATCACATACCTATAACTATTTATCATACACTTTACCCATACACGTTACATATAATGTAATGGCCACACTTTTACTGAATATGATTTCGGTAGGTTCACTTTGCTCCCGAGATGTGGGAAAAGACCCGAGTAGATGGAAAGCGGGTACTAAGATCTGATGCTGTTCCGACAATTTTTCCTTCCTCCAAATCAACTTTAAAAAGGAAAGCACCTACACAAGGAAGTCCATTAAAGTTGCAGTCAGTACAAGAATCAAGTAAGTCATATCCGAGGTCATGCCCAATTGCATAAAAATAATTACACAACATCAAAGTTAGGTACATAAATAGCTATATTACAAATTGGGTAGTAGTATAGTACTTTTAAAGTACGTCTTTTGTGTCTTAGATCAAACCGTGGATTATGGAATCATTGATCCAGAACCCTCAACCTCAGCGGCTTATTCATCAGACGTTATTACTGTCATATTAGATGACAATATTGGGGAATCACCTCCGTCAAACTTAACCGCTTCAACTTCAGCAATTCTTGCTCATAAAGATTGCAAAGCTAAATTTTTGCGATATGAAAAAATGTATACCAGAGAAAGAGAGAAGTCCAGTAGACGGTACAAAACAAAGACTCCAAAACTTAAAATTTGATAGTGGCATTTTGATTAAACTTTTTAAAAACCACAGTTGAATCATTTGGTGAATTCGAAAAAGATTGTGTCTTAGTGTAGTTGGACAAAATGGCCATCACTGCACGCAACGCACATGATTTACGATGTTAGTTTCAATGTTGGATAGAGTTACTATACATCGGAAGCAGGTCGGCTTACTATTTTATTGGCAATTCTGTGAATGGTGCAGTTTTAAAAGAAATTATAAATGAAATTTTTAAAAAGTAGAATTAAAATTGACCCTTCTATGTATAACGTCGGCTTCTGATCAAGCATTATGGAAAGCATGGGGAGTTATGGCAGGCAGGTACCTATTCTAAACCCAGGTGCAAAATTCCTCATTGAATAATTAACAGTGAATTGGTGTTTCCAGACGAAATTGAATATTTCTGATGTAATATAATAGGAATATTCAAAAAGGTATATTTGAATATGTATTAAAATATTCCTAGAATAAATTTCAAAAATATTCTCCATTTATTCTGAACATTCATAGAACATGATGCATATAGCCACTTGGGATATTCTGAGAATTAACTTACACAATATTCTCAGTTTATTCTGAATATTCTTTGTATATGAGGTATACATGTATTATTTCAGATATTCTGAACATAAACTTGAAAGAAAGGTATTCGTTTCTTCTCAATATTCTTAGAACATGCTCTACACTTGACCCATCACTACTCTACATATACAATTTGCAAGCATGAATATTCGCAGGACATTCATAAGGTTATTAAGCGGCAGAACAAAGATCTCGTTTATTAACATAGATAGTCAATTAAGTATGTTATTTTTCGTCATATTTAGGTAGAGAGGGTGTAAATTTTGTTTAGGAATAACTTCAGGATCATTTTTGTCCATTTAACCAACTCTCTATTAATAAAGCGAAATCTCTGTACTCGACATGAATTTGATACAACCTGTATATCCATACAACATTCTTGGATATTTGGAATATTCACATACCTTCCAGCATGTTGAAAGAATATCCAATGTTACATGGGCATTTATGTTTGTCGACACACCATACCTTTTAACAAACAAATTTATATCACCTGCCGATAAAACAAAAATATATAGATTGCCCGCCAACGAAATAAGAGCTAATCATATTTTCGGAAATTGGGGCTCGCCAAGAACAACATAAATTTAAAGTGGCACCAAGGTTGTGCTGATTTGCTGCCATCTCATTTTCATAAGATGAAGGTACAAGGTGGTCCAAAAGGATTAAATAAAAAAAACGCCAAGACAGTCCCATATTACATTTATTTTAAAATTTACGCACATTCATGGAAATTTACGTTTTCAAGATTACATTGTCTAAATGTGCGCCATTGATGTCCTGGCCTTCCTGAAGGCATAACTCATGAAATTTTACAAAATGCGGTGGCAGGTCTTTGTAGTTATGGCTTCCATTTCTTCACAGTATTGTTCTTTAGGTTCTCCAGAGTGGCCGGGTGGTTACGGTACACTAGTCCCATAAAAAAAATGGCGGGGAGTCAAATTAATTTTTCTGGGAAAATTAGAAGTTTGACAGGTGGGTCCTTCCTGCTGCAACCAAGTGTTCGGATTATATCCTTCAAATTCTTGGAGAACAGGAGAAAAACAATTTTCAATCATGTTGACATAACGCTGCGAATTTACCGTTACTGCGCGGTTACTTGGCGGTCTTCAGAAAAACCAGGCCGATTTTCGAATGCCGACATTGCAGCCCAAACTGTCACTTTCGGGTTATGCAAAGGCCTTTGATGTTTCCTTTTAGGGATTTCTCCACTCCAAGGCTTGGACATTTCTGAATATCATGCAAATTGAAATGTTGAAATCTCAAGGCCACAATAGTGAAAGAATTGTTATTGCGGTAATACTGTATATATGCCTTGGACATGGTTGAAGCCACACTGGATCTTCATAACTAGCATTAAGACCCAATGGTTAAATCATGAAGTACTGTATTCATAGCTTCGAGGTTGAACTTGACTCTAGTTTGTTTAATGCAGTGAGCAATTTCGTAGTAGGAATTTGAACGATTTCATTATGTCACAGAGGGGAATGATTAAGAACTTGATTAGTCCACTTTTATTGGTTACCATAAAAACATCAGGAGTTGAAACTGTTCCACCCTCACCACCATCGCAGTTCTGAGCTGTAGCCAAGCCCAAAAACTGTACACAAGTGTTGGAATTTTTGTTGCAAGCTGTTAAAATAACAAAATCTGCATTAATAAAACGTTGATTGTTGCTGTAATTCTTATAATTGTTAAATTTTTCTATAGGTTATCGATTTCGGCACTAGGCCATCGTCAGACCTTGCTGAAATTACGTTTGTGAAGTGGTGGACATTATAAAGTTAGAGGCTTACCGTCATTAAATACATATAACACCGATACATTCTGGGATACATTGGTAAAATGGTTAAAAAATTTGAATTAAAAAATTGTCGAAAACTGGAGCTGAAAAAAGTATAATTCCAATAATGGAGCAATTCATCCTCTTTTTTCAGCTCCAGTTTTCGACGACAACAATTTTTTAATTCAAATTTTTTAACCATTTTACCAATGTATCAGTGTCGATAACCTATAGAAAAATGTAACAATTATAAGGATTACAGCAACAATCGACGTTTTATTAATGCATCCTTATAATTCCAATAATGGAGCAATTCATCGATAATAACAAAATCTGCACTTCATACCGACACCAAACACAAAGTACTCGGTAGTGAAAGACACAGCCGTGAAAAATATGAAATAGAAAGCACTCAGCAGTGATGAACAGGGTGCCAATTTATAAAGCTGGGATGGTTTATTTCGATCGAACTTGAATAGGAAAATAACTTTGACCTATAGAGTGGCATACAATCTTTTCTACATCTTCGCAAGGTATTAATGTAATGTATTGTGGTATGAGTGAGAAGTTTAGTGGCCAACACTTGATGCATATGAATAAAGAGCGCTTGTCAGAATTTTTTCTACTTCTCGATAGTGTCAGCTGCTCGTAATCTCCGTTTAAGGGAGGTAACAGCTAGTATTTTTGTTGGTTTCGTTATTGCATGAAAAATGAGATAGATTGAAACAGCATCAAATCTTACCAGAAACTAGGCAACAGCAGTGTAGAAACCATTCATTTAAACAGCCTTCGGCAATGCTATAGGCATTGCACAGATTAAAGAGTTGTACAACAAGTTTATAAACGCCCTTACACCAATGGAGAGCGATGCATGATTACAATTGGCTATAAACATGCCAAAATGACAAGGGCATTGTCCAAGTGAACTCTGAGGTAATGTGGGATGTTGTGCGACTATCCTAGAAATTGGAGAACAAGTGGACAACAGCATTTTTCCACCATACAACACTTCTAGTTGTTCCCCGGACTCCACTGGGACAATCCTGTGGAGTCGCTTTACTACTTTGAGGATGCTCAGGTTACCAACACTCCAGGTGTACCAGTTTTTTTCCTAGTCAAAGTTCAAATACTTTTCTGACAGACCTTGTAGACAGAACTTCCCAATAAGACCCTGATTAAAGCTTATGTAGCAGATATTGAGCGATTTTGATATTGTATCTCCAGGACAAATATCAACAACTTAAGTAAACTGTTATATATATTTAAAATTACATCATAATTGCGCTGGAAAAAAAGAGTATCCTAGTTACGAAAATAGCAAGTAGGAAAAATTGTCAATAAATTAAGTTTGTTCCATTCTGTTCCATTCATATAAATCAGAATCCACGAAATACAAATATAATAAGTGGCGACGAGGATAAGGAAGAATATTACAAAGTACAATGAATACCACACCTACAAATACAGTACAGCAGTCATTGAATACAGTACAACATTCATTTATAATTGAAGCGTTCAACCCAAGTACAACATCATGGGCCAGGTGGGTAAAACGTCTAGAAGGTGCTTTCAAGGTATTTAATACTACGGATGATATGAAAGTGTACTACATATTACACTACATGGGTGCGAGTACGTATGACATCCTCGCAGACAAATTATCTCCGGTGGAACCAGAAAGTAAAACGTATATAGAAATTATACAGACGTTGGAACATTTCTATTCACCATCGCCGTTAGAAGTAGCCGAAATATTTAGATTTCAATCTCGTAAACAAGTAGAAGGTGAGTCGATCCAAGAATACTGTCATGCATTACAAAAATTAAGCATCAATTGCAAATTTGGTAATTATTTGAATAACGCTGTAAGGAATCAGTTAGTGTTCGGGCTTCAATCAAAAAGAATACAAACTAGACTACTAGAAACAAAGGACCTGACTTTAGAAAAAGCCATGGAAGTCGCTAGCAGCATGGAAATTACCGAAAAAGATATACAGCAGTTACAACACAAAGGTACAAATGTGCATGCCAAGTTTGTTCCATTCTGTTCCATTCATATAAATCAGAATCCACGAAATACAAATATAACATAAACTGCAGTGGAGAAAATGAAAATTCTTAAAAATTCTGATGACGCAAAATCACATTCTGCATTTGATAAACCGAGATGAATACATCATGCAGTGCTGAAGGAATTATATTATGGCTTCGCTTCCTTTGTTGATAACGAAAACACCTAGGGTAAGGTTACATAAAGAGCTTGTATTGTCAAAAATATTTTCCATTTTAAACAACTTCCAATTGATTGGAATTTGATTAGTTTAAAAGGAATGTCCTAAACCTTACCATATGGCTAAACCATCAGTCCTCAGTCAGTCATTCACGAAAGTGATACTGCCATAACGTTCAGGCGGGCCCGCATAACCGCCATAAAGATGTCATTTTTTGTTAATAATTTTGGGCGATGTGCTACAGTATGGCATTTGGATTTTCCGAAAATTCATGCTCCAATTTGATCCATGATATACATGGTGTTTTTTTAAAGATGGGCCATAGGACAATGTAAAGGCGTCGAGTTATTTCAAATGGGCCATAGGGAAATTTACATTGCATCAATTGTTTCAGTCATAGCTTCCTAGCGAATCATCTGCCACAGTACTGTAGAAATTGTTTCTAAATCAACAAATTTATTCAAATGAGATATAAACATATAAAATTACAATCGGTGCTCGAATTGTTTTCTACCAAACAATACCCGATACTCGGCACTGAATAGCTCGCATACCACTCAGCTATACTGTGCCCACTCTTGTACAAATTGTACTACATGAACACCTTTTCGAGCGGCGGAATACAAGTTGCTGCTTCGTTGATGCAGTTTGAAGGATCAGATTGAGAACCGTCAGTGAAATAACTAAGCGCAAGGCCAAGATTTGAGAACAATTGGCGCAATGTAAATTTCCCTATGGCCCATTTTAAATAACTCAACGCCTTTACATTGTCGTATGGCCCATCTTAAAAAAAACACCCTGTATATGCCATACTCGTCATGAAGGCCAAAAATAGCGCCATACTCGAAAATCTGTTATACATTACATATTCATGGTTAAAAATGAACAAGGAAATCATGAAAATCAAATAAGCACTTGTTAAAAAATTTTTTTTAGCTTTTATCCAATCACTCAAAAAAAACAATCGACACGTTCAAATTAGTATGGCGGGCTATAAGACCCACCGGAAAAGTATGGCATTTAGTTTCCGCCATTTGTTTAGTCACCGACTAGCAGAAAATCCAAAGAATATTGTGTAGCAAATTGTCCAAAATCATTAAATTTTCCGACATGTCCCCACTCCCAGGGAGTTAGCACCATTTTCGATTTGAGGAGTACTTAATTTAACCTTTGAATGGTCGCCATACTTGTAGCAAATCACACCAGAAAAAGTGTCACCATCTCCCGGTCTAAGTCATGATGTTACTGTAAATGTAAATGGCAGTAGGAGTTCATACACTCATTATTTATAGACAATTTATGAACAGATACTTAACAAAGACGCAAAAAGTTACACATTCATCTTGTATTTTGGTGCAATTACAACTGCATGAGATGGATTTTTTTCAAGTTAATGTAGTACAAAGTCCCCACTGCTCCTTTAAAAAGCTAATTTCTTCATTAGAAGATACATATGTTGGTCAACTTCGAATCCGTGTAGATTGTTGGCATCACCTTGCAATCGCATCAATAGTCCGCCGAAAGAAACATACGCAGCCCTGAAAAAATGAAAGATGCACATATTAGTTTAGTAAGAATAGGTAACATTAAAATTAGAAGTCAATATTTATGCTATGCACCAAGGACTTTTGTAAAAACAAGTTCACTGAAACTACACAAACACACAGCCTTTAAATCTATGACTAATGCAATTCTAATTTGTGTTTGTTTAACCTTGAACACTGCCATTAACCAGAAACAATAAAAAATGCGGGAGAATAAATTATTCTAGGAATTACTGGCTAAAAATATTACAATTCTCTGAATCCTAGTAATGAAGATTGATGTGATCGCGACAGTCACAAGGGTAGTATGGTTAGAGGCCGTGAGTCAATTTCCACAACCAGCTAACCACACTGCCATTGTGCACATCGCCAGATTACCCATGTCATTGTTGCACTTATAGTTATACACCATTATCAGTACAGCCACACATCACGTTACATAATTCTACTTACATCTAACCTATAGTATCTAATTTAAATTTTTTATGCTACTTTATTCCATATTTTTAAACTAATGATTTGTGTTCAAAAGGTTAGTATAATAAATAAGTAGTGACGAGTGGCGAAGAGTATTAGCAAATTACTCTTTGGTATTAGTAACTTTTTTCGTCAATCCATCATACTCGTCAAAGAAAAATACGCTTTTAAAGTTTACAACTCATGATTTAAATCCAATATGAAGATTAGCCGAACTGTACGAATGTAGGTATGAAGCTGTGATCGAGTTTGGTTTTAAACTTTAATAGTTATTTATTATACAACACGATAAAGGGATATAATTAACTTTCATTCACGAGTTTCGCTTTATCGTCGTGTATAATACAAAACTTTATTTTACAGCAGAAACCATACAAAGCATTATAAAACTTCTGAAAATTCTGAATTTATTTAGACGTGAGAAATAGCACGTCGTTTCCATGGAAACAATATTGTTTTCTATTTTGAACTTCATTTTATATCGTGCGCCGCGTCCCATTTTTAATAAGAATGACAAATGTCATTAGAATGCACAATTATTTGTTTCACTTTACCCTTAGAGTTAAAGAGAGCCTACTCCTTGGAACTTTTAGAATATTTTAACCAAAAAAATTAGTAGGCACCAAATCTTCATCAAACTAACAAAACTGCAAAAATGTGCTTTCCCCATTTACATTCCTGAAAATAAATAGAGGACGAAGTAGCCAACATTCGAAAAAAAACTCAATTCTCTTTCTTTCCTGTTGGTGGTTATTTTAAATGGAACGCTTTGTTTTCTTTATTTCTGTAGTGTAAAGATACTATTTCCCGATACCAACGCGCTCAATGTTCGTTTCAACTTGGCGTATTTTTTTAAATAAAATACTTGTTAAACATTTACAAACATAAACAAAAATTGAGGAGAATTTGGAACCTTCCGTCTTCAATAAATGTACTATTATTATTATCCAATTATAATTAATGAGATCAAATTTGTTGCGACGTGCAGACTTACTAATTGATCCACGTTCCTTTCGACTACCTAACTACTGAGTAAATAGTAACATGTATAAATACCGCGATTTGTACACCCAGAATAAATGATGTTACAAATTCCTGTCGTGTTAAGTTGTAAATGAACAAAAACACTAAATACGTGCGTTAATCGACGTTTTCGGTAGGAAAAAGGCGCAAAATGGCTTATGATAATATTTGAAAACATTAACGCAAACCTATTTACGTCTAATTTTAAAGGTGCAAAACCATTTGGCAAGGAAGATTGATTGTAGGTAGTTGCAATGTAATGATAGTATCTCTGAATGTTTTACTCTATCAAAAGGTCCCTGGCAAAGTGACAATAACGTATTGGAATTCGTCCAACAGGGCAACTGTGTCTTTGGACAAACCAGGTCAGACGACAGCGACTACCTACTGCTGCTCGTGTTGTAACCTACTTCTAATTTAGAACTATTTTTGAACTCTTATTTAATAATAGGTATAATTATTGTCACAAATGATGACTAGCAAGATGAAAGACGCAACTTCATACGTTAAGCTTAGTTTACGAGATGAACACTTTCAACGATGAAAGAAGACACAAATCTTAAGCAACAGAAAAAAATATTTATGATTTTTTAGAAATTGGCGCCCAATACATGTGGTCGCCAAACTGAAATGGGAAGCCGTTAAAAATGATTCCGTTCCCATAACCTGATAATTACTTATCACAAATGGACATCACTAAACATTGAGATTGTCTGTTCATATAGGATCCGACATCTCTTTAGTAGGTACCTATCTATTGCCGTTATTATCTTTATATAAAACGAAGTGAAAAAGTTAAAACAGTAATAAATGACCAAGCTCCATTGTTTTGTATTTGCAAGTCACATAACATCGATGTTATAGTGGTAGGTTAAGATTAGTCAGAAAACTGCACAACGATAAATGGCCGGAAATTTGCGGTTATGAAACTAATTAAATAGCGGCTTTGTTGCAAAGTAAAATGAAAGATGATCTACAAGATGTTAAAAATTAAAACTGTTCTGGCATTACCACTTACAACATATTTACCACATAGTGTGAATACTCACATTATGGGTTATTTATCAATTATTTACGGTGAAATACGTATTAAGATATTTATATTGTTCCATTAGTCGTGTATGAGTAATACTTTCCTGTTAGAAAACCTTATTAATAAATAATAATTATTATTGCGTAAACCGCTTTTACATTTAAATTTAGAAGAGACTGAGGGGAGTGTAAAAGAAACTAGTCGTACAGCTGAACAGGTGCCAGCCTAGGAAATAATTTTGCTAGTTATATAGCTATAGCTTCAAAATAGCTATTTATACAATAAGTTGCGAAATGAGTGTCTTTTAGGCACGCGACGTGAAAATTGTCCAACGAGGCAAAGCCGAGTTGGACAACACGTCTAGTGTAGTGACTAAAAGACATCGTTTCGTAACGAATTATATACAAGATTTTTTGTGAAAGCAGAGAATTTGAAAATGTTATAATTTTATTAGGATTTTTAAACATTTGGAAAGTAAGTAGACAATCCGTTTCTAAGGCATTGTTTATGCATTATTTAATGTCAAGTATGACGTTAAGGTTGAACGTAGGGTGTTGCCGTCTTTCCCGCAAAGTTTTCCGAAAAAATTACTTCAAATGAGTGATACTGACGAGTCTTTGGATATTAAACAAGCTGCTGAAGCTGCGTTATTCACGTTAGTACCGAAAAATCGAAACATTTATACGAAAAGACCTACGACAACATTGATTTTAATGTGTCATTTTTATTTTTAGGCACTAGTGCTTAAAACTTTCACATTTACGCACTAGTGCCTAAAAGAATGTCATTTCGAAATTCTAATCAATGTCAAAATTTGTCAATTTCGAAACGCTTTCACAAAAAATCATTTTTCGTCATTTAAGACCGCCAGAAGAATAAATTTGACCGTGCGCTTTCTTAAACAGAAATTTTCAAATAAATTTTATAAAGTACAAGGATATAACGGGCGATCAAAAATGAGTTGTCGTCCAGTCGCCTTCGAAAGTTCAAGTTAAATACGAATTCCCATGTAAACAAAAATTCCAAAGGTGACTCGACAGCAACTCTTATATTTGATCGCATTGTATCTAAAACATAAAAACAACGTCGATCATTATTTTCAGGGCAGATGTCGAAGGAAATATTGTAACGCAGCACCCGTTTTACGCCTTGAAATTTACTAGTTTTGTTGAACATACCGTACATTTTGAAGTTTACCAGTTTTAATGAACACCCGGTAGGTATCTGGAGGCCCTTCGATAGGAAGTGTTGTGCCGAAAAGTATTTATGTTGATTCCAGTTGTTGAAATAGAAGGTAAATGATTTAATTTCTAGAGTAGTGTTCCGTCCGCCGTTACCGTAAACAAAATTGTAATTAAATCGTCGTTTGCAACCGTTCCCGTCAAGATATTTCAATTATCTTTACCCAAACCTTCTTTTTCATGCCTACTTTATGTCAGGAAATTTTACACGACCACTTTTTCTGTCGCCTGTCACTTTACCGACCGCACTTGTCACATTGATAATGATAATGTCTATGATGACTCCTGTCATACGAAAATTGAAATTTTAATAACTATTGTTGTGCACGAAAGCTCTTGGTCATTTAGATTTCAGAAGACGAGGACAAATTAATATTTTAAAATGTCCGTCTCGTTAACTATTATTAGATGATTTTGGCTTTATGTTATTAATTTAACAAACTAATTTAATTAATTTGTTAAATGAATTAAATGAAATTTATTATATATTAACCCCGATTCAAGCAAAATGCAGATTCAAAATGCATGCGCAATCCTATTTACTTATTTGTCAAAATATTGAAACGAAATATTTCATATAGGCTCCCTAAGCAAAATTAAAAATAGTGCGAAATACAATTTTTTATTTGTTCATTTTATAATTTATTTTGTCCACTATCGCTATGTCCAGAACTATAAGAGCTACGAGCTCGGTTAAATTAGCAAACTATTTTACAAGACTATTATAATGAGCACGAAAATGTGTTTCAACCAGTGGTTTACAAACTGTGGATACCAAGTTTTGTTATTTTAAATGGAACTAATTCTTTTTATTTCCTTATTCGATAGGCAATTTTATTCTGAATACAGTCATATAATATTTGTATACCCTTTAGGTAACAATTTTTATGAAAAAATGCTTGTTTGGATTTATTTTAAAATGGCTAAAATAAATGTGCCATGGACAAAACTAATGACTGTGAAAAACAATTACTTTGAAACAAAAACACAACTAATACACAAATTTACAATAGGGGTCAAATTGTGCTCCATTTTCGGTAATACATAATTATATTCTTCGCAACAAATTGCTGCTTACCTACTTATCTTAACATCCGCCCATCAATATTATTTAAAACATTTTCTGTGATGTTATTTACATGTTGTAAATTTGGATACAAAAATATAATGGATTTAAAATCGGGCAACCTGGGGGGTCATGAAATAAGGCCGTTGGTGTCAATCCACCGATTCGGGAACATTTCATTACTTTAGCATTACTCTTTGCGCATTGTGAACAGGTGCATCGTCTTGTTGACAATATAAATCTCTTACGGGCACATCATCTAGCATATTTGCTAACGCGTCACTTAAAGATTATAAATACCGATCACCTGTGGGAGTACCTTCATACATATTGAAAAAATATTTTTTTTAAATAGCACAGCAAACGTAACACTAGATTTTCTTTTAAATGCTCTCTCTCACGCACAATTATCTCGGTACTCATAATTATTTTTTTTCATTGAACATGCCATTATTTGACAAATTTGACTCATCTGTCCAGATAATAAATTTTCAAACATCTCTTTCTTCCTTTAGCAACAAATAACAAAAATTAAGGGCGTCCTTCATGGTTTCCAAAATGGAAATGTTGGGACTTTTTTGAGTTTCAACGCTTAGTATTTATTCTTTCTTGAAATTTTATGTACTCTTCTTACACTACACTGGTACTCGGTAACGGTCATTCTAATAGATGCCCTTAGATTTGCTTTCAACATCATTATTTATTGTTGTTCTCGATTTTCCAATAAATGGAGTTGTATTGATTGGCCCGTGATCTGACCGTAATACCAGAATAATTCAATAATACCAACTGACAGTTCTAAACAACATAAATAGTGCTATTGTTTCGGCCACAGCACCCTAAAATCTGAATCCATATCCAACTTGTTTCGTCCATGGCACACTTATCTTAGCTATAATGAAATAAATCTAAACATGCATTTTTCTCATAAAAATTGCTGTCTAGGAGTATACAACATTATATCACTGAATAAAATTCTCTATCGAATAAGATAATAAAAAAAATATAGTTCAATTTAAAATAACAAAGTCGGTATCCACAGTTTGTGAACCACCGGCTAAAATAGTCTTGCAAAAGAGAAATTGTTTGGTAATTAGCACAAGTGGACAAAATAACATGAACACCCTGTATACATGAAATTTTGTATACAGGAACCAATGATGTTATTTGAGGATTCCGGATACTCTCGAGGATCGTCCAGTATTCAGTTGTATGAAGCTGGAAACACTGGAACTGCTTGTGGTTGTTGAATTTACAACAAGATACGAGGAATCACATGCGATTTTCAGTAGGGGAATTTTTTGCCACTCGGCTCGTATTCGGAAACCAGACTATCCGGCTCATATTCAATAGCGCTGATCCTTGAACTCGTAGAAATCGATTGGCGAAAGTTTGAAGTCGATATCTCTTCGTTCTCGAGTTAGACGAGGTACAGACGGACAAAACCATCACATAAGGGAAATTTTTTTTTGTTTTACTGGTATTCGTAGCAGTTGCATCAGATTTTTAAATTCGTTTTCTATCTTCAATAATGTAAGATGAAAATACCACTAAAATTAATTTTGCCGACTAAATAAGAATAATTTGTTACTGATATTCCTTAATTACGATCTTATATCGTTGAAAAGAATTCTCTTTCATGGCCGATTGCAAAGGGTAAGTTAAAATCCATGGCAACTAAAACGCGCTCGCACCTCCACATACAGGGTGTTACACGACCGTTCGAAAAAAAAAAATCGGGTTGTAGAGGGCATCAAAACAAGCACTTTTTCCAAATAAACCGAGGGTCCAACGTGTTTCGTTTGGGAGCCACCCCCCAAAGAGTGTTGAAATCTGCATTTCTTCTTTAATTTTTTTCTCAGCAACCATAAGAGTTACAAAGTCGGGTGGCATGTCTTTGAATAGGTTTTTGGGTATGCTCTTTCCGATTTTGCAATTTTTTTTTCAAAATTCCTACCCCTAAAGGGCGCACCCCTAAACTAGGGTGCAAAAAAAATTCTGATTTCGACGAAATTTGGTATCTGGGGTTTTTTTAACATGAAAATCACGAATCTGAAATTAGTTTTTGAAAATTCGAAAAAAAAAGTTCCACTGCAATTCTTGGCGGGACAACGAAAATAGAGATAATTCCACGAAATTTGTTGTGTACATACTAAACGAGTTAAGGAACAAAACTGTCGAACAGTTTTTTAAAATAACTTTTCAAACAAAAGTTATACTCATTTGAATGTTGGTCCTTCGGGTCGCGAAGTGTCCCAAGCCTACTAGTAAGCCATAATTTCGCATGTGTTGGTTGACAATGTCGCAAAAACAAAAGATTAACGGTTTGAGTCGATATTTTGTTATTTGGAATTAATTCGGTCATTAAATGATTAAAAAATTCGATGTATCGATTAAAACACCTACCAAGGTATCTTAAAGCGCTGATCGATTATTTATTATCTAAATAAGGTAGGGGAAAAAGTCAAATCACTTTCCGTATGATACTTTTTCACTATGATCAAAAATTTTCATAATCTTAGGTTGAAAAATAACTTCCAAAAGAACACGCTCCTGGCTTACTAGTAGGCTTGGGACACTTCGCGACCCGAAGGACCAACATTCAAATGAGTATAACTTTTGTTTGAAAAGTTATTTTAAAAAACTGTTCGACAGTTTTGTTCCTTAACTCGTTTAGTATGTACACAACAAATTTCGTGGAATTATCTCTATTTTCGTTGTCCCGCCAAGAATTGCAGTGGAACTTTTTTTTTCGAATTTTCAAAAACTAATTTCAGATTCGTGATTTTCATGTTAAAAAACCCCCAGATACCAAATTTCGTCGAAATCAGAATTTTTTTTTGCACCCTAGTTTAGGGGTGCGCCCTTTAGGGGTAGGAATTTTGAAAAAAAAAATTGCAAAATCGGAAAGAGCATACCCAAAAACCTATTCAAAGACATGCCACCCGACTTTGTAACTCTTATGGTTGCTGAGAAAAAAATTAAAGAAGAAATGCAGATTTCAACACTCTTTGGGGGGTGGCTCCCAAACGAAACACGTTGGACCCTCGGTTTATTTGGAAAAAGTGCTTGTTTTGATGCCCTCTACAACCCGATTTTTTTTTTTCGAACGGTCGTGTAACACCCTGTATAGTAGGTTGCTTATGGACATACCTATAGATACAGTAGATGCTTGCCAAACGTGACAATGACAGCACAAGGAGATTATGTTGTGTTTTAATGCTTCAATGCAAGTCAGTTGGCATCATTGCGTTATCGAAGAATGACGCAAATTAGAAAGAGAGGCATTTAGTCCATGGAGGTGTGAACGCGCTATAGACCATGTTTCCATTCTAGTTGTACATAAAATATGTAGAAATAGTGTAGAAATGCATTATATTTCCTCTTTGTATCGTTAGATAGGTATTGTGGACTTAAAAAAAAGTAAATGGCAAAGTTTAGATTATGTTTGTAATAATATAGTAATACGTAATATAATAATATAGTGCAAGTGCAACTCAAATGTATAAGCTGTAATTTTGTCGAGGTTATATCGCAAGTTTTTCTGCCGGTCATGACTATAAAAACGCCTTATGATGACGATACAGCACATACTAGTTATATTTGTGAAAAAAATATAAATTTTTACCTTTTTAATTTTCAAACCGTACAAACTGTAGATAAGGGAAACAAATGATAGACGCAAAACATGCCCATTTATTAGTAGTGCTGTCATGACCTTCTACTTAAACAATTTAAAGAGGATTGGAAGAAAAAAACAAAAGTAACTACTAGTGGCGTATCTTTAAAATCGTTGACAAAGGACAGTTTAATAATCTAAACCTGTCTATAGCGTTTTCATTAAAAAACATTAAATGCCATTACTCAAAATGTACAACTTAATTAAAACGTCGATCATATTTACATGAGCACAAAATTACATATCTTTCTTTTACATACCTATTTTTTTTATAAATGCCAATAACACCAAAGGCACATAAAAATAAATACAAAAAAAATATTTTTGCAAAACACTAGGCTGGACCCCAGTTTTTAAAAATATTTATTTATGCTTCGTATGCTCACATATTGCTTCTGTCATTAGTTCGACAGCAACTTAAATTTGATTGGATCCTGAAACGACTTAATCAAAATCCCAATAGTTGCTTGGAAAATATTTGTCGTACGACCACTCGCCATATTTACACCCCAAAACTATGTAAATTTAGCATTCACGTGCGAAATAAAATGTACCAACCGGTGGAAAGTTGTTTGAATTCATTCGCCTCAAATTGAGACGGGTATATTGCCAAAGACGTATTTTTTGTACTTTATTGATTTGTATCTCTTTCCCATCGTACTTCAACACCACATAGCAGACTATTGTAGTTGTTTTGTTAGGTATGCGATTACAGATTATCCCAAAAATCTGGAATGATCAATGATCATGAAGATTAGTACAATTGATGCAAATAAACCAAAGATATGCAACAATGAAGTATATTTAACATAATTCTAGAACAGCGCGAGACTTTCCAATAAGATAAGACAGATTGCATGTTTAAAGTACAACAATAATAAAACTACACAACACTAACTAATTAACAAACGCCCAAGAGTACACAATAACTAATAATAAAAAGAAAGATGTGTGATTGCACGTCCTGGTATGTCGTACCAGAAAGTGCATTTACAGATTTCACTACATGCCCAGTGTAAACGCGCTTCTGGCACGCAACCCAGAACTCAAAAGTAAAAAAGGTTGGCCAAGGAAGCGGATACGGTGCTCGTGCTGATAAGTGACAATGCCCCACCGAAAGCACCTAGAAGGAACAAATAAAAGAATATGAAAAATGATAAAAACGAATTAGTCGAAACGAAGCGGGGTTCATGCGTGTTAAAGACGTTAGAAATTAAAGCAAAAAAAAAAGTATAATTACAAACTGAGTTACTGAAATGGTGCTCCGCTGTTACGACAAAAGGTGCACAACTAAATAACTTAAAAAAGATGACCGGGAAGTTAATAGATTTGCTAATTACAACACGTCTACACACGTAGAGGAAAACTGACGCAGATATTAAGGAAAACTTATACTACCCTTTAATAGCCTTACGTCACAGGGCAAGGTCATGTCGTTACGTGCGCATTAATGAATCACTAAATATGTGCAAATTACGGCATGCATTTACATAAACATTTGTAAGCGATAACAAACAGAACTGCACTGAAATGAATGAAACAGTTAGGCACTCAAACACAAAAAAAAGCACAAAATCAAAAGCACTTAATCGGGTCTAATTGCATGCATCAATCTCCAATTGGTCGCATCCGTTTAGAGACGTTTAGGAAGCAGTAAACCAAGACACAATAAGAGAGAACGTCCGAACAATCCAACAATACAATTTCAGCTGGGCTGAACTCGAAAATAACACTTTACTCTGGTGGCATCCACTCATTATGCAACCCCGTATCATGCCAAATACTGCATCGCGATAGCAGGCAGTGCCAATTAATCACGAAATGCAAATCCTAATCAAAAATAAATTTAATTCGCGCTCGGCCCCCAACAAAAATGACGCGACACAATTGAAACTTGCGTTTGGGGGAGCAAGCGAAAAAAATATGTTATCCTCGTTTAAATCTTACGTGTATTCAAAAGAAGCGAATTGACAAATTCAATTTGCGCTTACGTAAATCGCGCATGTATTTTATGTGGACAGTCGTGATAAAAATACTACGGAAAGACCATGGACTTTCCTGTACGATGTTCTCAAAACAACTCAAAGATGGCGAGAGCTTTAGTGATACATATGTGTTCAATTGAACTAATTTTAGATAGATTCAGATAATAAATTTTTATGCTCGCTATTATTAAAGGTCTATTTTAGATTTTTTGATATTACATATTTAACTTTCAATTCAAACGAACCTTTCCTTTGATGTTGCTTAATGAAAACATGGCGGGGCTCAAAAATAAAACAATCATTGACAAAAGTAATGATTGGCGAATAGGTATATCCTGCAGCATATGTAACCAACATTTGAATATATTGTGCAACTTGGAGATGTAAACCAACAAATTAAGGTCTCCTTGAAGACGGGGCCCGAAGTCATAGGCGTGTTGGTTGCTTATGCTGCAGAGTTTTCCTATTAGGCGATCATTACTTTTGTCAATAACCGTACCTTGTTTGGAATGCGAGGTACCCACGTACTCCAATCGAAATCACTTATAACTTGGGCGTTTAAAGAAATGTCTATGCTTTGATTTTGGAAACTTCTATAAATGCTACCATATAGGTAAATCAGGACGACTACCGATAATTTGTTTGGATTAATACTGTATTCATATCCCGTATCAGCAATTTGCCGTTTTTTGGGCGCTAAATTGTTGTGGAAATACAAATTTTACCGCATTTCTTTTCTTTTTTTTAAAGAGACAAAATAATTACCACAAAAATATGCAGCACTATAAATTTGCCCTCTTTTTTGCAGGTCAACCCTATGTAACACATTGATTGACAACATGTAAGCGTGGTCAGGTCTTGTGTCTTAGCGTATTCAAGAAGGGGGGTCTTCTAATTCGATGTTTCTCTGTATGAGTGGTTTAACTATTTCCGCGAAGGAAGTACCTAATACAGTCCTATTCTTCGATGTATCTGTTGCTTTTTTTCTGGTGCCCGCTGCTGGACGGTGCGCAAGCATTTTCTTCAATTCCCTTCACGATTATGTCTCGCTCGCGAACTGGTAGTATACACCACGTAGGAGCTAACATTTCCAGCCGGTCCTAGCCGCCTGCTATCGATCCAAAAGTGTCGTGAAACGTCCGTCCTTTCGACTCAAAAGTTAGATGGCTTTGCTCGTAGTTTTTCCCCAGAGTTGCCCTATAAGTATAGGGTAAGTCGAAGTAGCCGTGCCGGATCGGAGGACCCCCAGGATCATTACAATAACCCAAATTACAAAAAGTTTGTTACCAATCTAAGTATATACTTTAAATTTGTAGTCAGTAGCGTACTTTTACTACTACTACTACTTTTTGGATATAGCAGCATAATAACCTTATAACCACACTTTGTCCAAGATAAAGATGTTAATCATGAGGAACTCGGAAGATACGGCGTTGGTTAAATTAGGATAAGTTGCGCAATGCAATTAAACAGTTATTATCATGCTGAAAAACCAGAAAATTCCGATTACTTTCGAAGATATACCAGAAAAACAGAAATTTGGGGATTTTGTTTTTATTTTTTCTGATGTTATTTGAATAGATACAAAAAGATAAAAACCACTTTCTAATTATCACCTTCTGAGGTCTACAAGAAAACGTTGGAAGATTCCAATAAAACGTTTCGTTTCGGAGAAATCACCATCAACTATATTTTTCATATGGTCTATAAAACAGTAAATACTGCATTGAATAGCATTTTGTATTACGAATACAGCGATGTATGGTACTAAAAAAACAAATGTTGGAAACTGTTGTTTTACCAGGAAGGTGCACCCGCACACAACCCCGTAATCGTACCTATCGGACAAATTTCCTGGAAAATGAAAAATATGCCCGATAGGTATTCTCACACGATCCTGTTGAAAAGAACAGTTTCCACCTTTGGTTTTCTTTTTGCGTGCCCCACATCGTTGTATTCGTTAAAAAAATGCTACTCAATGCAGTATTTACTTTTGTACGGGCCATCTAAGAAAATAAAGTTAAAGATTTCTCCGAAATGAAACATTGTATTAAAAAATCTCTCAACGGTGTCTTGTAGGCCTCAAAAAGTGGTAATAAGAGTGTTTTTTTATTTTTTTTGTATCTGTTCAAATAACATAAGAAAAAACGTAATTTGCAAATTTAGGTTTTTCTGGCATATATTCGGAAGTTATCGGAATTTTCCGTTTTTCTGTAAAGCCCCATGATAAGACATCCTTATCTTTGACACAGTGTCCGAGATAAGGCCAGTCACTACGGGCATTCTACAAAGAGTAAGAGGTGCAAATTTGGTTAAAAGTTGTGCGATCAAATGTCTAAGAAGGTGGCCCCTAAAAATTTTTTTGGTTTTTGAAAAATTTTGAAACACGGATTTTTCGATTTTACGAACTATTTTTTTCTAGCGAAAACCAATGAGACTTCTCCACTGCAATTTTGAGTGCTCTTTAAGATGGCGTTAATTTTTTAATCCGCCGTTTCCTCTTTACGGAACCATTATTAATTTCATATCTTACATACGGCCCTGATATTCCGACATCATATTCTTAAAGCCCTTTTTATTCTGAATTCAATGATCGTTTAATTACGGTTTAGCTTTTTTTCGGTCTTAATTAATAACTTAATGAATGTGCAAAGGGAAAATGTACCAAACAAGGAAAGGGAAATCAACGCTATCAAACGCGTCATTTGTGCGGTAAGTTTTTTTTTGATAGCATGTAGTATTTAAATTGCGGAGATATTCGATGCATAATCAAACATAATTGCCAAAACAAATCTGGTCGCAAAAGGTACCTACAGGTTGTCGATGTAGGGTATTCGGGGAGGAACCAGCAAAAATTGAGGAGATGATTCCTTGGGATAAAATGATAATGATAATACTGTCTATTAGCATGAACATAAAATAACTACAGTACAAAAAAACTAAACATCAACAATAAACAATCAACAATATAAAAAAGTTTGCAATGAACATATGTCCAGAAATTTTAATAAAGTAAAGAAACGCGAGAGCGGTGTGGTAGGCCCCACAACGAAAAATTTCCGGTCATATTTTTTTAATGTTTCATCTCCCTATTTTTGCTGGTTCCTCCCCACGACAAACTAATAGGTAAGTATAATTAACAATAATCTTAAACTTATTTTATTTACACAGAAGCTATTAAATACGCTATTGCGTATTATATGGCTAAAAGCTATGGTCATTTAAATTTCATGTAATTCGGTTCATAAGTAACGGAGATGTCAAAAGGGCCTACATTGCCAATTCACGAACTCCGATCTACAAATTTGATAAAGAATCGACCTGAAAAATTTCATCGCAATCGGTCCCTTCATTTTCGAAAATCGTGCTAACAGACAGACGGACTCACGAACGGACAGACAGACACCGCCAAATTATGAACTCGCTAGGAGCTCCTTAATAATGCATATCGAGTGATAAGTAGTCACTTCACAAATCTCCAGTACCTAAATACGCGCATAACGTCTATGTCCCAACACTGTGGCTGTTGTATTTTTGATTATGTATAGCGCAAAACAGCTGTTGTAGTCATTAATTTCCCTTGTGAAAAAACAGCCTTTTTTCAAAAATACTGCTTCGCATTCATTTTCAAAATCCTGATCTTACTTACAGTTTTGGAATAGTTATTTATGCATTCGTTTACACACCAAAACATGTTATGAAAAAATGAAAGACAGTATACCTAAATCCTGTTCTGCATACCTACACAGTTTCCTTGTTTAGTTTGGGAAACTGAAACACCCTGTGTATACATACGTACGTAGCTATTATCACCAGAATCTTGGTCAGAACATTAGATAAAACGAAAATGATCAAACTTTTTCTTACATTTTAATGGCCGTTTTGCAACGCTAATTTTTACTTTGTGAATCGTCGTACTACCTAGTACCTAGAAGAGACTGAAGTAATCGTTCAATCACCTAGCCGTTCAAAGGAAATTAATTCGCACTTTTTTTAGTGTAAAGCAAGTAGATATCTATAGTTTGAAATTACGTAACGATAATTAATATAATTTAATAAGACCTTCACAGCAGACGAAGCACCTCATCTTCAATTCACTTATCTTCAGCTTGCAGGTAATGTAAAGCTACTGAGATACCACCAGCTGTGTTCACTGTTCAAAACATCAGAAAACACAGGGTGGTCCCCAGCACCTAAACATCGCTTTACTTCTTCCAGCACCCATTCTTCAGTAGCCGACTAGTGATTGACATCTTGTTAGACACCGTCACGCCAATCTTCCAACGGTACAGGATAATCTTGTTTTATACGCAACAGCTGCATTTTGAAATCGTCCCTAACAGATTCTTCGAAAAACCGCGATCTACCTGAACCGATCACGATCTTAAAGGTTTATTGCGTCGCAAAATTCTATTTATGTAAATTGATTCGCAAGAAATCCATTTACTTTAATTTTTTTGGATGTTCATAGAAGCGGTAAGTCGTTTTACAACCTCATTCATAATCGTTTCCTGCGTAAGTTTTTGGCGAGGCACTTAGCGGCAATCAATTACGATCTTCAAAACGAACAACACATATTTATAATTATAGTTTTAAAATAAGTACGATCCAACAAATATTACGATTAAGCAGTGTTCAGCGACCCTTGGTATAATTAAATTATACATTTTGCGCTGGCTTGTTTAAACGAACACAAAACGAAAATCTTTCACAGATTTTTCGGAAGGTAGATAGCGATTATTGCGTCTAGTGGGGGAAAGGACTAGCCAAGGGATCATATGTAGAGGTAGTCAAATAGAAAAGGTTCAAAATAAGGATGCTTCGTTAATCATTACTATTGGGGCGTAAACGTTTTTACCCTCCGTTTTACTATTCACCAATAGAAGGCCAAGCCCTTATTTATAGGGTCGATTACAGTTACATTTTAGTTAGACTTTTCTTAAAGTATAGCGACGT